TTACGTACCGTTAAGACTATTTACTACTATATCGTAGGCGAGGTCGTAATAGAGATTAATAGACTACTAGTAGCTAACTCCGAGAGTATCCCGGCTATATAAGTCGATATAGAAGAATACGAAGTAGAGTTCCTAAAAGTTAAAGAATATAGTAATATAGTAGAGTATATAAGGTAGTTCTTAAAAGGACGTCTAATCTATAATCGATCTAGATTTTCGAGGTAGAAGACGCGTATATAGAAGCGTATATATAGTAATATTCGTAAAAACTATAGTAAAGCCTATTACCTATACTATCTAAGAATATCTAATCTTTAGAAGAAGCTATTATATAATTACTAGAAATACTATACCTCCTATATAAGCTCCGAGAGCTATAATACCGACTACTAAAGCGCGCTTCTTTATAAAGTAAGTTATTATTAGCGATATTATAGGATAGAACTATAACTCGTTCGAAATCTCTATATATAAAGTCTAGCTAAGGAATAATTACTAAAAGTTCTTAGCTTCTACTTAATAGAAAATTCTAACTACCTAGAGGACGGCTCCTATAATATAGACTAGCCGGAAGAGTCTAGTATTAGTAGCTCTTCCTATAAATATTCTAATATTAAATAGAAGAAAGATCTAGATACTATCTAGCTAGAATATAGCTAAGTAGTTAACTCTAAGAGTATTTTCGTAGTATATTTAGAATACTCCGAATAAATTAATATAGCTAAAAGTTAAGAAGAGAGTTAAGTATATATAAGTAGCCTATATCTATATCTAGAGACTACTATTAGATAGTAGGCCTAATTTCTATAATAATAAAGTAGTAGAATATACTAACGTTATTCGTAAGAGCGTACCTACTAGTTCTATAGGCTCTTCCTACTCTACTTTATAGTTAAAGAGCTATTTTTCTAGTTTCTCTTTCGAGCGCTTAATACTAATATATTCTATTTTTAGTAAAGCTCTTATACTAGCTTTTTATTATATAGAAGGCGTATATCTAGTATCTTGCTTCTCTATATCTATCTTACTCGTATCTAAAGCTATTTATACTATACTTAACTAATAATTTAAAGTATTTAAAGGTTTCGCTTAATTATAATATAAATAGAAGAAGAAGGAAAAGATATACTTATAAAAACGAAAGAGAGATACGATCTCGCTTTTATATAGTATTCTAAGGAATACGTAATAGACCGAGTTACCTATACTCTAGTATATTATCCTTACTTTATCGAATAGTTAAGAGTCTTCTATAGTAGAAGAGTCTATAAAGTGCTTTTCTCTTTTCTTAGTACTATAGCTCTAACGAAAACTATAAACTATAGGCCTTATCTTACTTTATATACTTTCTAATACTAGTCTATTATTCTATATATACCTCCTATAGCCGATATTTACCGATATACCTAGGAATATCTCTAATAATATATAACTTCTAAGATTATATTTTATAAGCTATATATAGTATACTACTTAGTTCTTTAATTTCTTAAAGCTCTACTAGAATAAGGTACTAGGAAGTTATACTAGTCTAGATTATACTAGTCGCCTTATTCTATAATATAATATAGAGTAGGTAGAAAGCGCTAACGATCTCTAGTTTATAAGAGCGCTTAAGATCTCTTAAGACTAACGCTAATCGATTAATTAGTACTCTACTAAGTAATAGATATCCTAATCTACTCGAGAATAGTAGAGGAAAATCTTCTTCGACTAGCTTATATTATATT